GGGGCATATGTTCTCTGTAATTGGATGTGGCTAATGTGGAAGTGGGAAAGTCAGGCCTCCAACAATACCTATCATAAACATTTAAAATACTTCCCCCTTCCGGATGGGTTATGGTTGCTATGTGGGGACGCTGCCTATCAACAGTGGCCAAAGAATTGGTCTGGAGTATGTACTATAGGTTTTGTAATTCCTGTCATCTATAAATTGGAGGGTTTACCGATTGGGATGCGTATTCGTAATCGAGAAGTTGATTCTGGCCTAACTATGGGTGGTAATTTGTGAACTCAGATTTCTAGAGCAGCAATCCCACCTTTGGGAATAGCTATGAACTATAGAGATATTCATATTTTAAATAATTTTACTGTTGCTATGTTTAATAATACTATTAGAAGCATTAAGATGTTGAATGAAGAAGTGTCTGAAATTCGCCAAGTTACTTTACAAAATCGTTATGCTTTAGACATAATGTTAGCTGCCAAAGGAGGAGTTTGTGCCTTAATTCATTCACATTGTTGTGTTTTTATACATAATTATGAGCCTAACATTACAAGAACTGTTCATGATATGGAAGACCGCATAGCTGAACACGAAGCAGGAAAAGATGGTTTCAATAAGTCATTTTGGGCTTTGCTATGGGATTGGCTTCCTGACAGCTCATGGTTACGTTTATTGCTTCAATCAGTTGTAGTAATTGTTGCTATACTTATTATGTTATGTTGCTGTATTCAATGTATTCCTAATCTATTTCAAATGTGTACCTCAGCCTTTCAAAGTATGGGACCAGGTCGCGAGGGAACTGTGTACTATGCCACTAAAACACCCCCCGTCTTTGAATAAATAAAAAAGGAGGGAATGTGGTAATATATTTTATTAATCATTTTCTGTAAGTCCTTTGTACAGCTATTTTGCATAGATCTAGGGATTTGCAAACGCTCCTGGTGGGGGCAGTAGTGCCTTTGCTATGGGTGTTTCATCCTGTTTGATCTGCGAGCTTAGAGGGACCAGGAATATAGGTGAAAGTTCATGGTACACAGCAGAGACTTTCCCATGGGATTTTTCGTGCCTGTATGTTCTCATGGGACTTTCCACAGCTGCATATTCTCATTCTGTTGAGGTCATTTGTTTTTGATTCTGTACTTTTGATTTCTTTCTTAAATGAATACTGCTACCTGAGTTGGCTCGGGACTGGCATTTGCTCAGACGTTTCCCTGCGTCTCATTTCAAGTGCCAGACCACCACAGCCTTCGCTTTCTGCACAGAATAGATCAAGCAATATCCAAAGCACCCATGTAATCTGAAAACAAAAATGCACTGCTTTAACATATGCTGAAATAACCAAAACAAGGGCCCAAAGAGTAACCTATATATAACTTGATAAAGAGCAAGGGAAAAAAGTGTTAAATGGAAGAATATTCTAATCTTTGCTTTTTCTTCTGATACTGCAAGGATTATTTTTTATTCTGGTGTCTCTTCAGACTGTGTAAATCTTTCATCTTTTACAATTCCAGTAGTAAGGAGAACCTGTAAAAATAGATATATTAAGCCTGAAAGGTTTCATCACGAGTGGATAGGATTTCCTACTGTACCTGCTTGCACCAGGTTGTAAATGCCCAAGCTTCAAATCCACTATCCAATGCCCATCAAAGACAAAGGAAAGAGTGCTCCAATAATCATATGAAACTCAGAACAATGATTTTATGTGAATCACAAAGTGTTTTACAAAGCAAAATACATTTTAGTGTAAATTTAGTCAATTTAAAGCATTTTTCCCAGTAGTAACTTCATTTCATATTTTTTTAAAAGCATACTACAGTATTTGAACCTGCAGTATTTTTAAAATTATTTCTTTTAACAAAATCCCAGATCAATGTTGTCTGTTGTATTATCCTGTTTTATAGAAAAGTAATGTGCTGCCCTCTAGAGGCATAAATTTTTTTATTGATGCTGAGAAGATTGTAAAATGACCAATTGTTCTTTCTTAAAAAAATAAAGTAACACCAAGTACTTAAGTGTGTTATTTTTTCCAAACACCGATCTCCTTCAATAGGAAAGAGATCAACTGAATTAAAATTATTTTTTAAATATAATTATAAGTGCACTGTATTAGTTTTCTTTTACAAAATATAAGAAAAGCAAACATATGACAAAGTAATTATTATAAGAGAACGTTTTGCATTTATATGGAATTCTGACTGGGAAACAGATTTAGAAAGCTGGTAAAATATCAAAGATCCATCAGTATAATAAATGCCACAAACCTTGCTTACTCATATAAGGGCAGAGATTGTTTTCAGAAAGGAATAACATTGTTTCATAAAGTTCTTATGTTTTTTTTTTAATTGCCAACATATTTAAAGCAATATAAATGTAATCTCTACACATGGGCATCACTGAATGCATAATATTGGAATGAAACAGATTGTCTAATCTAATGTAGAAAAGTGCAGTCAGGATATTGTAAAGTACAAATTTTGGAGATCTATGAATTATTCATGTTAAATACCCTACTTAAGGTTACAATCATAAGCCTCCCAAAATCGCTTTATTAGGAAGATGGATGGATAAATAAATAAATAAATAAATAAATACCAGCAAGATAGCACCTGGGGAGCATACATTCAGAATAGTTTATATATGTGTGTGTGTGTGTGTGTATGTGTATATGTATATGTATATACATATATATATGTGTGTGTGTGTGTGTGTGTGTGTGTGTGTGTGTGTGTATATATATGGCATTCAGCTTTGTTCGGGTATTTTCCCACGTCATTGTAGTTGTGCTTTTAAAGTTGTAGCGACGTTTCAGCAGAATCTCATCTGCCATCATCAGGCTTCTGTGATGATGGCAGATGAAATTCTGCTGAAACGTCTCTACAACTTTAAAAGCACAACTACTATGACGTGGGAAAATACCCGAACAAAGCCGAATGCCATACATGTAAGTACCCGCGAAAACTTAAGAATATATATATATATATATATATATACACACACACACAACACACACACACAAAGGATTTGGTTTAATTTATCAGAATTTTACATAATAGATTGTTTACAACTAGTACCAGCCAAGGCTGTTTTTTCTATTGTAAATTTAGATACAGATCTAATGGACCTAAGATTTAGGTATTTCATTTGAACATTAGTTAAGATGCTGGTTTAGAAACTAGGAGACTTAAGTTCTGGGCCTCTCCTAAGCATGAAAACCAGCTGGGTGACTTTGAGCCAATCATTCTCAAGTGCATACACACATACACACACACACACACACACACAAATATAACAAATTTGAAGCACAGGCAAGACAGTTGATATTTTAATATGTGAATCAGTGGTGGTATTCCACCGGTTCGGACGAGCTGGTAGCGGCGATGAGTAGTGGAGATCGAACCTGTTCTCTCCACCGCTCTGCTGTTAGGCCCACCCACTGGCCCGGGCTCCCATACTCACCTTTATCCTCTGAAGTTGAAGCGCAGCTGCTTTGCGCAGCACAAGAGTGCTGTGGGGCAGCTGATGAAGGGACCGGGAGAGTGCAGGCTTGCTCCGGAGGTGAGTTAGAATGCCTCTGCGCTTGAGCAAAGTGCATGTTTGCTGCGTGCACGCATGCAAAGTGTGTGCATGCATGCATGCAAAGCACGCCCACCAAGCCGCACCCACTGAACCGGTGGTAAAAATATTTGAATCCCAGCACTGATGTGAATCCCTTGTACCACATGGAATGTTCATTTTACAACATCTGTAACTCACGCCATTCAAAAAAACTTTGGTGGAATACAAGAAAGGTGGACTCTAAGCCTGTCTTTGAAGACACCTTGGCACTATTGTATATTCCTACTAAAAATATCAGTAACTGCATCAAACCACAAGGTTGTAAAAAGGATAACTTGCTTGGAGTCATAAGAACCATTCCGATGTCCTTGGGTGCCAATGTAAAGAGCTACATGCATGTCTATGACATTTGCTTCTCCCACACCCCTATAGAGAAAACCCATTCCTGATAGGCACTTTAATTGATCCAGAACATCTTTTCATCTTAATATGCGTTGCTTAACCTGATGGGCTTTAGATGCCCCAAGAACTGCCAAAAATCCCCCCAAAGCATAGCTGAAAACTGCAGATAGAAATCATAGGAATTGAAGTATCATCCAGTATCTAAACCGAAGCAAATAGTGGTTGGGGGAGGGGGGGGATTTTCTCAATTGCGGTGACAGGAAAAAAGGATCCATAAGCGGCTAAGAAGTAGTAAAAAAAAATCTCTGCACCCGGCCAAAACTTTTTTTTCCCCTTATATTCTTATTTCGATTTTTCCGGCCATTTGCAAGAAAGGCTCCAACGGGACCAGCCTCTATGCCTTTGCCCAAATGCGTCTTTCCAGGTGTCAATGTTTTTTTAAGTCCTGAAAAACACCCCACTTTTCCCTAAACTTAAACGTCCCCCGTCTTCGAGCACGGTTCACACGTGCTGATTACACGGGATAGAAGAGGGAGGGAGGATGGCACAGCGACTGAAGCAAGGCTCCGACGGAATCTACTCCATCATCTGCTGGCCCAGCGTGGGGAGCCAACGGGGCAGGGGTGGGGCACTCTTTTCCTGTAGTCGTTACCTTGGTTACTGTCCGAGGCAAAGGAACCGGACGCTCATTTCGGCCGTTCATGATGCTTAGGGGAGCCGCAGGGGGCGACCCTACTTTCCAGTGCTTCCTCTCGCGCGACGCGTTTCCCCGGCAACGGACCCTGTCAGATGGTTACGACAAGAACCCTCAAATCTGAAGAAACCCAAGGTTTCCTAGGGAGGTGATAATATTCCCCTATCAATATTCTAATTCTTCGCATTGTGACCCAAAGATTATATTGGTTTACTACAAACGCCGTGGAACGCTTTACTGGCGTGTTTTACACAGCTGCCAGGATCCGAAAGGAGGAACGGCCTCGAAATGGCCCTCAACGCGGAGAGGAGGCACGTGCACTTTGGCGCGTGCGCATTAGACGGACAGGAAGAAGGGCGCGCATGCGTATCCCAAATAAATGAAACGAGATTGGCCTCTTGGGCGAGATTGAGGCGTCGGTTTTCTTTGGCCTGCCGGCGAGTATCCGGACGACGCTATGGGGAAACTGAACGTTATTTTACTCCGATACCTTTCCAGGGATCACTTTAGGGTCCTCACTGCGGTAAGCCTGGTTTGGCGGATTCGATTTATATAATCCAGGGGAGGTTTGAGATCTGAATTGTTCGGGACGGCCACGTGTTCTCCTGCTGCAAGAGATTTAGGATGGCTCCGGGTAAAAGTGCTGAGACCCGAGTGGGGTTGTGCGACCCTCCAGATGTTCTGACACTTCCAGAACCCTTCGCTTTTAGGCATGATGACTGGAATTGTTGAGGGTTCAGGAACATCTGGGGCTTCCACATCTCTACAGATGAGCTGCCGTTTGTTTGTTTTTTAGAAAAGTAAATAAAGTTAGAATAAAATAGAATATCGAATAGAATAACTTTATTGTCACTTTGAATGTACACTAATCGGCATACATTAAAATGAAATTTCGTTGTATACAAGATCTCAAAAGGATCACCATCTCCAATATACATTACATTACCATGACGATAAATAAATAAATATAGAATTATGCATATACCCACATATATGACACAGAGAAACAAGGCAGTCTAGTTCAAATGTATACATGTACACGGCGAGAAAACCGTATCTTGCGAGTTTACCAAGTTATGTTGATTATCTTGAGAGAGAGAAATTTTGACCTTCCTCGCCAGCATTGGCCAACTCTGAACCCGATCCGTAGCCCACATGGTGTCTGCCAGGACTCATTGTTTAGTGGGGTCTTGTCAGTGTGACTGCTTCTGGACAAAATATCCATCACATTGTGTCCAAATGTCCATCAAGAGCTTACACCTGCTCAATGTCTGATTTTTTTCAACATAGACCACCCTATGCTTGAATGGCTGGGTGGATTGGACATTAACAGAGAGATAGCATGCATACTATTAAACTAAACTAAACAAAGGATAGATCCCCTATATATAAAGATATTTACCCATGTAGTAGGGCAGTACTATTATCCTTCTATCCTATTACTTTCTATTGGTATCTATGATTATCACTTGGTTGTTGTGTTTGTATGTACATTAAGAGCTTATGCATCAGAGATAAATTCTTTGCCCATTCTATTAAACTTTAACCCAGTCTTCCTGAGGTTCACGCAGTCTCATTTTTTCCAATTATACTAAATGCTTGGTATGAATTAGATGCTTTTGGAAGATACAGAGTTGAGATTAATCTGGACTCAAATTAAGGCCTGCCAATAATTTGTTCTGTCATTCATTTGCCTTGAGAATGCCACTTCACCCTAAGGAACAAACAGAATTGGAACCAGAATTATTCTTGTTAGGGATATTTAAAAAGAAATGTGGGAAAAATATAAAATATATAATATTACACATTTTAACGGCTGCTAGAATTGCCTATGCTCAGTGTTGGAAGCACAATTATATACCATCAGACGAATTAATCATTCAAAAAATAATGTGTGTGCTGAGATGGATAAATTAACCCTGATGTTATGAGAGAAAGACGACTCTGAATACTATAGAATTTGGGAAAAATGGTATGATTGGATTTAATTAAGACAAATGCACATGAAAGAATTAATGATAAGCAACCTATAGATTAAATGTTTACATTTGCAAAAATTGTATATATTTGTAAATAAGCACAAAATAAAAGTTTATGAGATAGGTGTCACATACTGTTAATGTCATAATATGTATGTTTTTGGTTCAGTTTTTAAAGATATAAAAGACTAATCCAGTTTATTACAAAAAAGAGAAAATGCCATTTCAAGGTAGGTCTGATAAGTTGCCATTTCAAGACTAAGCCATCTATATTTTATCAGATTATCAAAGTTAATTGGTACATGCATTCAAAATATACATTCGTACATATAAAATACATTTAAAAGAATAGGAAAGATATCAAGTTAGGCTTATCATAATACATTGTATTTATTATTCTTTCTTTTTGTTATTACAGGTAGAAATGGGCATGAAGAATCATGAAATAGTCCCTCCTAGTTTGATTGCCTCCATTGCCAGTCTTAAACACGGGGGTTGTAATAAAATACTGAAAGAATTAACAAAACATAGACTTACAGCTTATGAACGAACTAAAAGTAAGTACAATTTTTTTTATTCTTCTGTGCATGTTTATCTACCAACAAAGGTTAATTTTGTATTAATGCATTTTATTATCATGTTTCAAATTATATAAATAATAGAAAACACAGAACTTTTCATCATTTTAGATACATTCAGTCCCTTTTACACTTAAGTACATAGCATGTGATGTACCTTAGTATATGTAAGGTTTCTTTCAAATTGAATACACAATTATGAGATGATTCTGAAATTAACTATTTTGAGTCCTTTCAATGATTGAAAATGTTTTTTCCACAACTTTTTAGCCCACTCTAGCCGTGGGCTACAGTGCCCAACAGATTCAATAGAAGAGAATATATGTAGCTCGGGATTGAACTGTGAAGTTTCTTCTGTCTGAAATCTGTTATTGTAATCAGTTTGGGGTTGGTGCAACCAAGCTCAGAAAATATCAAGGCCTCCATAGTCAACATTACAGCTGATATGTTTATTTCTTTGAATGTCAGCTCATTGGCTAGGATAAGTCTAAGCAGTTTACAAATTCCAATTAGAAATAATAGATATTACCCTACAACTAATAAAAAGGAACTGACATAATATATACTACATGTCTGGAAAGATGACCAACTCATTACAATAACTACCAGGAAGCAACTCCGTAGGTCTCCTGGAAAGCCAGCTTTTCACAGCAGTACAAAAGGAGTCACATCAAACTCTGGGTGGATCCTGTTTGGAGGATAAGCCCATTTACAGAGAATATATGCCTTGGAGTGTCCACAGGTTGACAGTGTCTTATAGCTGAGACCTGGAACATGCCATTTCTTCCAGCTTGCGTTCATCCAGCAGAAGGAACGGGATGATCAGCAATGTTAGGAATTATAGTTCAATATAATTGCAGGATTATATCATCAGAAGGATAATCATATTAAGTTATTAACATACGCATACTGTTGTCATATTTTAATTTTTCAGCTGTCCAAGGTTATCGATTAACTAATGGAGGTTATGATTACCTTGCCTTGAAAACACTGACTTCCCGAGACGTGATCTGTTCTGTTGGGAACCAAATGGGTGTTGGAAAAGAATCAGGTATTTTAAGCACTAGTTTAATTGGCAAGGAGAAGTTGGGAAAGTTATCATAACCTTTGTTTGTAAATTCTTCCCCCACCCCACCCCCCAAAATTCTGACTGTTGAAACTGCTTAGTGATACTGTGCATATGCATGAATGAAATTTTGTTTTAAAGATATTTACATTGTTGCAAATGAAAAAGAAGAGCAACTTGCATTAAAACTGCATAGGCTTGGGAGGACCTCCTTTCGGAACTTGAAAAACAAGCGTGATTACCACAAACACAGACACAAGATGTCATGGCTCTACCTCTCACGTCTTGCTGCAATGAAAGAATTTGCCTATATGAAGGTACTACTTATATATCCCTGATTGATGACCCAGGATAGTTGTAACTGAGAATAAGATACACCAAGGACTCTGTTGCCTTCCTGTAATTTTCTTTTCACTCATTAAAATGGTTTGATTTAGAATGCCCGAGGTTTTTTTATATTTTGCTAATATGCTCTTGATAAGTCTTGTAAGAATCATCATAAGTTTATTGTTTTGAATTCATTTAGCTCATCCATGATTGTGATTCACAACTAGGTTTACCAATAAGTTGTATTGTTTTTATTTTTGCTGTCGCAGAATTGTGATAGACATCTTTAAAAAGGGATCAGACAACTATTGTATGGATGTTTTGACCAGTAATGGCTGCTAATTACTATGTTTAAATGGATATACCACATTTAAAAATACTGTGTATATAACCCCATCCATGCCTAAGTTGATCCTTGATACCATGAAAAATGTCCTTCCCACACATAAGCCAACCTGCATTTTTTCATGGCATGTTGGTTTAAAAAATTGTAGATAGGCTTCTCTCCGGCTGTATACAGGATACATGACTATTTTGCCAAATATATTGTTTTATAAGCTCATTCACAGATGAGCCAAACTCAATTTCAGGGGTGTATTTTGTCATCTAAAATTATTAGCTTATCCACCAATATGATAGTTTATTTTAGTGTCATTTGTTGAAGGACAAGTCCAGACATTTTTTCCAGTCGATTGAGTGGCCACCTTAAGAAATGAGAGGGATCTTTGTCCTGATGTAACACTGCCACTCCTATATTTGTGCATAATTTGTATAATGTGCATAATGTGTTTGGGCTATTCACCAAAGTTAATGTTAATAGATTAGAACAATTATTTGCCCTTCAAAAGGAAATGTATTTACTCATGCTGCCTGTTTGTATGTCTTTGGTTGTTTTTTCCTCCTTGACCAGGCTTTGTATGACAGACAGTTTCCTGTTCCAAAACCTTATGACTACAATAGACATGCAGTAGTAATGGAACTTGTCAATGGCTACCCACTGTAAGTATCAGTGCTTGCCTGGTACAGATCTATTAAGGCTCCTTCACTACCAATGTGGTAAATTGATAAGCTGCCAGTCACTGCTTTTTTGAAAAAAAAATCACCACAGCAATAGTTCTTCTCTTCAAGACACATTTCAAAAGGAATAAGCCACAATATGTCACTTCAATTGCATGTGAGCTGTCCTCATTTAATGCAAACAATTATACTACTAGGTCTCCCAACTAGATAGTATTGGCATAAATGGCTCTTTTCTCTACATAGTTGGCTTACAAGTAGAGATGGGTAAGTTTGAGAAACATTGTATTTTTTCTGATATGTTGTTTTTAATGTTTTATATATAATAATGTACGTATATACACACACACATACAAAATTGCACATTTACACTCATATATTGCTGGGTGACTGGTATAATCTGTAGGGTTTATTGCAACTGAGTGAACCGCCTTGAGTTGACATGTCAGGGAAACTGAACTCTGCATATTATTTTGTCTTATAAATTTTTCTGTTTTCCTTTGTTGTTCTAGTGAGATTTTTTTTTTCTCTTCAGCCAATTGTATTCTAGTCTGATATTGTTTTTCTCTATAGCTAAATGGAGCTTTTATCTTTTTAATTTTTTATGTAGGTGTCAAGTGCGTCATCTTGAAGACCCTGCATCCCTATATAATGAGTTGATGGAATTAATTGTAAAACTTGCCAACCATGGCTTGATCCATGGTGATTTTAATGAATTCAATCTCATGTTAGATAATAAAGACCAGGTTACAATGATTGATTTCCCACAGATGGTATCAACCTCTCACCCAAATGCTGAATGGTGAGTAACTTCTTCATGTAAATAGTCAACTCAACAAAGTTGCCTTGATTTAAATTTCAACAAAATTTTACATTATTGCAACTAAGTTTTGCTGAGCAATAATGACTTGTTCACATAACACTGAATTCTAACTGATAGCTTGCAAGCCAGTAAATCAGAATCATGGTAAACTAAAACCAAAGTTTTTTCTGTATCAGTTGCCATGTAAAATAATTTATTCTAGGGAAGTTTGAATAATTATTTTTGTAATTTGACATTTTAAAGATTAATGTGAATTTGTGCTGGAATAGTTTCCAGGAGCTTTTTCCTAATTTAATAATGCCATCTTGAATTTCTGTTTTCATTCTTGAGCTTGATTAGTGGTTTTTAATTGTTCTTATTGTAAAGTTTGTACCATGACTATTTCAATTCTTTTATTCTAATTAAGCCATGAAGAGTCTTACAATTACAACCAAATATAAATAAAAATCTTCTAATAATATTTTAATTCAGGTATTTTGATAGAGATGTGAAATGTATCCGTGATTTCTTCATGAAGCGCTTCAGCTATGAAAGTGAACTGTATCCAACTTTTAAGGATGTTAGGTAAGCTATCTGGTATATTAGCACATGAATATTTATTTCATTCTTCTTATTTGTCTTCCATAGTACTAGGTATACAATATACATTGAGATTTCACCTGTAGATATATTTGGTATATTAAAATTTAACTACTGGTATGAACCATGCCTCCCAAGAGAAGTAATATAACTTCTTAGCTTTTTTATTAGCCTTGTATTTTCCTTTAAACATTACATTAAATTGTATCTGCTAAGGTCCCAAATCATGTATTGTACTTCATATGCAAATGTAATTTTTTATTAAACATGTAACACAAGATTAAAAGTAGCTATGTTGTTAATCTATTCCTTTCATTTATCTACAGTATGTTCTGAGGTTTCAAGATGTTTATTTTTAAACATTTTGGGCGTGTTATTAAAATCAATAATTATGGATCAAATTATTCTTAGAAAGCAATGTATCCAAACAAGCATTCTCTTTTGTATAAATAGACCCCAATAACTTTTTTCTTGCTGTATTATGACGGGAACCCCTTGTTCCCATTTACTTCCAGTTCCTACTATCATTTTTACTGATATTCAGACGTTTTGTTGATCTAAATGGAAATCTCCCTCTGTTTTTCTTTATAATCACTATCTAACAAAGATTCATCCATCCCCCTTCCTCCATCCCCATTTTTTTAAAAAAAGATTTGAGTCAATTTACAATAAATAACTAATCATTTTAGTAATTTTTGGAATTCCATCTCAAGATCACAATTATTTTTTCCTGCTCTCCTTTTGGAAGTATTAGCGCATTATAAATAAGCAGAGTTTTTTTATTGGGGGGGAGATATTATAATTTGAGTGTTACTTGAAAAATGAATTTTGTTTCACTTTATTTCACATTACCAGGAAAGAGTGTTCTCTTGATGTTGAAATCTCAGCCAGTGGCTACACCAAAGAAATGCAGGAAGATGATGAATTACTTTATATGGATTGCCCTGAATCTGAGAATCTTAAAACAGAGACTTTTTCTGATGTGCAAGATCCAGAAGGAGAGGTTGCTTCATGTGACAGCGTAGATCAAATGACTGATGGGAATTTCATACATGAGGTTAAAAAAGCTTCAGGAGGTTTGTTGCAGACCCCTGAGGAAGATAGTGCAGAAGAAGATGAAGACAGTTTAGATTTGCAGGAATTCAGCTGTGCCTTACAAGAGATGGAAGGGCAGGTGATGACTGAAGAGAAGTCTGACCCTGAAAGCTCAGCCATTGGTTTTCGTGGTGATAAGAACAACATTGAAAAATCTACCCAATTGGAAGACGAAGTGGATCATGGAGAAGATACTGCTGACAAAGAATATGAAGATGAATGCTCCAGTCTGGTTGATTTGTCTACATTAAACAGGGAATTTAGACCTTTCAGGTAGAGAACTACACTAATCATTTAGAAGCTTTCTATGTGTTGTTTCTTGGTTTTGCCTTTCCAGAAGGTGAGCTTCTCTCTCAAGTATTAAGCACACAGTATAATCTTTGCAGATAGTGTTTTTTTAATGGTGAGTTTGTTTCAAACGTTGGTACATACTATGAGCTTCATTTTAACTTCTTTACATTTAATATCCCCATGATCATGTGATCCAAATCCAGGTGCTTGGCAACTGGTTTATATTTACGACAGTTGCTGTGTCCCAATGTCACTTGATCACCTTTTGTGACCTTCTGTCAAGCAAAATCAGTGGGGAAGCCAGATTCGCTTAACCAACTTTTAACGTTACTAACTTTATCAACTGCAGTAATTCACTTAAGTGAGGCAAGAAATGTCATAAAATGGGACAAAACTCACTTAATAAATGTCTCACTTAACAACATAAATTTGGGGCTCAATTGTGGTTGTAAGTTGAGGACTGCCTGTATTCAATAAACCAGATTACTTTAAGGAACCCAAAGAATAATCTCCACCCCTTCAGCAAGTTTTGTGAGTGAATTCCTTAGTGCATTATGGCCATTAACGAAATTGGGATTGTGGAAACAGCCTTTGTGAATGGCATTGTTCCAATTTGTTTGCGTTGGAAAAGCTGCTTAGCAAAATGTAGATTAAAGGTGAGTGATTTAAAAAATGTTTCTTATTTTAGGGATGAAGAGAGCCTATTTCATGTCAATCAGCACAGGACAAGAACCGCTAGTATGACTTCAATACAGAGCACTACAAGCCAGACAACAATTCCTCCTGTAAGTTTTTACATAATGGGTCTCAGGATCCTCCTCCCCCGCCCCCCCCCCAAAAAAAAATCATCTACTGCCAAGCCTGACCGCAGATTCATTAACACTTGTTTGGTATAATTTCACATGCATTAGATCTTTACTAAGGAATAGAAATTTAATATTGGTAAATATTTTTTTCCAGTTATTGGAAATATATATATATTGGTTTTAAACTTCAGGTAATGGATAAAATCAATTTAAGGGGATCCAGAATATTCAGTTTCTTCATTCTTAAGTCTCGATCATTTAAACACATTGTTTTAAAATGATTTTTATCGAAGGACAATTAAGATCTAAACAGTTACATTTCATTTTAAATTGTAAAAAAATGTCTTAAAGGTGCTTGTTTTGAATGGAATAGAAATGACTTCTAATTAAATCCTAACACAGATACCTCTTTTGAATTTTAAAGTGTTGATGGGATTATTGAGGTTTTCTAGTTATTTTTACCCTCAAGTTAGAATTAAGATGAATTTATTTAAAATATATATTTTCTGTTACTCTAGTACAATTTTGTAAATACAGTGATCTACTGACTGCACACAACAAAATTAAATATATTTCCACAAATCTGAAAACTGTATTTTTATAAATATTTGTTTCAGCTTTCTGCGTAGCTTCATTAATTTATACTTTGCTTGTGCTATAGTGCCTTCAAGTGGCTACATATTATATGGAGTAACTTGAGATGGAGAATACAAGAAAAGCAAAAGCCTGCATGGATTTTGAGGATTTAATGCTTTATTTAATTTTTAAACAACATTATACAGCATCCTTGTTTGTTAATTCCACGCATCTTCACTGTTTTGAGGTTTGGGTAGTGCTTAGAAATAGGAAAAGACCACTACTTGCTCCCTTCCACGCCTAAACAAATTTCCTAGCACAGCTTTCCAAACTAGTACAAATGGGGAAGTATGAATTCCTCCTTTGTTTTGGTGGGTAACCAAATGATTGTTGTATACCCCAGATAACAGATAATCGGAGTTGGAAGGGACCTTGTAGATCATCTAGTCCAACCCCCCGCCCAAGTGGGAGACCCTACACCATTTCTGACAAATAGCGGTCCAATCTCTTCTTGAAAGTCTCAAGTGATGGCGCTACCACAACTTCCAAGGGCAAGCTGTTCATAGGTTGATTGTTCTCACTGTCAGAAAGTTTCTCCTTGTTTCCAGGTTAAATCTCTCCTTGTTCAGTTTCCATCCATTCTTCCTTGTCTGGCCTACAGGCGCTTTAGAAAATAGCTTGACTCCTTCCTGTGGCAACCCCTCAAATATTGGAAGACTGCTATCATGTCTCCCCTGGTCCTTCTCTTTACTAGACTAGCCAAGCCCAGTTCCTGTAACCGTTCATTGTATGTTTTAGCCTCCAGTCCCCTAATTATCCTGGTTGCTCTTCTCTGTACTTTTTCTAGAGTCTCAACATCTTTTTTATAATGTGGAGAACAAACTGGATGCAGTACTCCGCGTTCTTAACACTTTACCGCTTAGCTGCTAATGCCAGGCTCTCCTTTTTCATATTTTCAAACTAAAATTTATGTATTGTAGCTCATTAAATTATTTTTACAATGTTGAATGAAGGGGAAATTGCCATCCTATTTAGTAAATTGGGTCTCAGAAAATAGTTTCTAATCTATTTGTGTACTTCCTGGGCATTTATTTCTGGGCATAGCCACAAGAGGGACTAGTATTCTTCCAAACAATCTCAAAACACATCTGCAACATCTTGCTTCTTTGCATGACTTGCTTATTCTCAAGTACATTGGTATTTTTTACCTTATTACAGGTTTTTGTAGACATCAAGATAAATTAATCTTGAGTGTTCCCTAGAAATTTTAATTTGATTGAATGGCATAATGTGTAAGTTGAATTGTAATATTTTGATATTATTTCATTCCAAACAAGACTAATGTTTTGATGAAACTATTATTTCAGGAACTGGTAAAACAGAAGGTAAAACGCCAGCTAAATAAACAACAAAAAGCTGCTTTCAGACGACGACTGCAGAAAGGAGAAGCTAACATTTACACCAAACAACGGCGGGAAAACATGTACAATATCAAATCCAGTTTGGATTCAACCAGCTTCTGGGAATGACATCCTATGAAGACATTTATCTTTTTTTTTCTCCCATCTTACAAATCAAACAAATCTTTTATTTTAAATAACTACTTACAGAGAAGAATCTAAATCTAAAGTTCTTTTTTCCAAATCCCAAAGGTTACCGCTATAAACCCCATCCAAACTGTCAAGTAATGAAAATGATACTGCAAAGATCTTGCAAGAACATTTCAAAAAAATAATGAAGTACTGCTGATTTTTTTTTTCATATATTTATTCAACATTTTAGTAAATGGCCTATTGCCAAGGGTCCTGAGCCCAACAAATAGGCTTTTTTAGCCAAAATGTTGTATCTTTAGAATATAAAAAATCAGTTGGCATGCTTGATATGATCTATCATTATTTAAGAAAAACATCATAGAAATTTGGGTGCATCCCAGACTTTGATTTCTTTCAAAAAAATCTGTTTGAAAAAAAACTACAAGAGAACAGAGTAATAAAAAAATAAAAAATATGATTTAAGAGATAAAAAGCTCAGTGGAATAAGAATTTTGGTCACATTTAACAAGTTACATTTGTAACTTGTATTAAACAAGATACTTTTATTAATCAGTAATTGTTATTTTTGTGTTATGAACATTTCTTGCCTAGACCCTTATACTAAGAATATTTCTGTTATTTAAAAAAATGCATTAAAATTATCTGATATTTTGAAAAATAATCAGCTTTTAAGTGGTATTACTTCCTACGCTTAACCAAAGCCTAGCATAGTTTTATTATGTGACACAACAATTTCTAATTTGAAACCAGACAGTCTGCTAGATTGTAGTTTAGTGAGATCCCAGGAAGTAAATGAAACCATGATTAACTTCACCAATGGTAGTGTGTAAAACCTATTTTCCAATACCATTTTTAGGCATTTGCATGTTCTCTGTTCCTTTCTGTTATTCTTATTTAATACTGCCCCTTCACTTTCCACGTTTGGGTCCATGCTGGTGAGGATTTAATAAGAAAAAAACCCACTCCTAAATTAGTAGTAGTTCGGGCTCTCTATACATATTCCAGGGGTGGGGGTGTTTCTCCAGATTTTGGAAGATTTGCACTAAAGCATAGATCATTTGGCTGTTTTGCTATTTTTTAAACTGGCAATATGCAACAACAACCGATCAAGTAAATGGCAGAACAGCCAGAGAAGGTGCCATCAAGAGAACAATGAGACCAGACATGATTTATCACCAAGAACAAAATAGAATATAAAATATAAATTATGATTTGATTGCTGATTGTACTCTATGACTATCATTAAGTGTTGTACATTATGATTCTTGATTCTTAATGAATGTATCTTTTATGTATACTGAGGGAATTTACACCAAGACAAATTCCTTGTGTGTCCAATCCCACTTGGTCAATAAAGTATTCTATTCTAAATATTCACAACAAACCCAGAAAGTAGACCAATCAAAAGGGAATAGCACCAAATTCAATCACTGATCAATGGATACTTCCCAAGAAGTACTCACCATCGCTCACCAACCCCTCCAAAATTTAGATCCCCCGCAAATTATAAATATGGCAAGAACTCACTTATGGATCACTGCACTCTGAAACACATAGCAAAATGTCTGCAACACTTGTGGTACAAACTTCTGTGCAGGTTTTCCTGAGCTCAAGAGTATTCCAAAGGAAGTATGTAAAAACAACTGAATTTGAGACTTCAAAATTATGCCTAATTTTAGCTGACACAGTACAGTTTTTACAGTGACCAAGACCCTATATATAGAAGTGCCACTATGTAATGTTTGAGTTACAGTGAATCATCCTGTTGGAATATAATTTACTGAAGCATTTTTTCTTCATCCCAAAAGTTCAAGTGAAAGATTTTGCTGTTACAATACAATTTTTGTATTCACACAAACTAGTAAACCAGGTTTAACCATAGTTTGGTAAACAGGCCATTATGATTTGGCTTGCCTGGAGCAATATTACATGAAGGAAAAATCAAATCCATGTCATTAAATCTTGGTATGATGCATAAATCTAATCTAAATAATTGATAGAATGCAAAATGTAGTAAATCAATAGAATTTTTTCCTTCATTACAAAATAAACTTTGAATTGTTCAATTTTCCAATTCAATTTTTTTTTAAAAAAAATCAAGCATCAAATTCAATTCATACATGTTGCTATTAATCCAATTTGGTAAATTGATTCCATTCAGTTATTTGATTTGATTTGAATATCTTTTTTTCTAGGCTCTCAGATTATGGCTTGTTCCTAAACTTTTTCATACAGTGCAGAAAGTCATTGAAAGAACAAAGCGGTACATTAAAAAATGAAATATAAATATAAGAATTTGGCTCTAATCCCATGCACATGCTTCAAGGTTATGCATTATTAAACAAATAAATTTACTTCTGAGAAAAAGAAGCACTACTTAGGAGAAAGGTATGGCCAAAAATAACCAATGTTCCTTAATTCCACTTTTATTTAGATTAAAACCTGTCTATAGATAGAGACAAGAGTTTAGCCTCAGCTTTTTCTTTAAGAAGATTTTTGAAATATCTAAAATCTTTAAAAGGTCAACATGTCATTTATACAAAGCATGAACTTAACCATACATCGTTCCTGTTTCATATACATACATTCAATCAAATTTATTTACCAGGAACTTCAGCTAACATGTAGGCTAGATGAATAATGTTCCTAACAATCTGAACACAGCTGTACGCCATAGGTGCAAAACATGAAATTCTTCAGTATTTTTCTTGCTGTATTCAGGATGGTTATCCAACTAATTGTTGCAGTTTCAAAAGTTGCAATTGTTTCCCAAACTGCTTAATGTTAAATGTGGTTTAGATTTTATCAGGCTAGTAGAGATAAGGGACATGGTGATTCAGTAGGCAGTTCAGCGGTTCGAATCCCTAGCGCTGCCTAAGGGAGTGAGCTCCCATTACTTGTCCCAGCTTCTGCCAACCTAGCAGTTCGAAAGCATGTAAAAATGAAAGTATAAAAATGGGAACCACTTTGGTGGGAAGGTAAGTGTGTTCCATGCGCCTTCAGCATTTAGTCATGCTGGCCACATGACCACAAAGATGTCTTCAGATAGCACTAGCTCTTTGGCTTTGTAATGGAGATGAGCACCGCCCCTAGAGCTGGAAATGACTAGCATGTATGCGTGAGGGGAACCTTTACCTTTTGAGATTTGTACTACCCTGTTTCTCCAACAATACGGTCTCCCCCAATAGGAAGTCCCAGCATGTTTTATAGGCATGAAATGAAATTAAGCCCCTCCCCCCAAATTAAGGCCTATATTAAAACATGTGAAATGGGGGGAATGGTGGGGGGGCTTGCCACTAGGAAGTACTTTTGTTGCACACTCGGATATGGTGCTGCCTGCATTGACCCCGATACGAAGTACCCCACCAACGCCGAGGTCAACATCCAAGCCGTCGCCGCCCTCATGAAGATGCAAGGGGGGGGAATTAAGTCACCCCCGAAAAGACAGCCTAGCCATTTTTTCGGGGCTCAAAAAAAAAAAGACCCGGCCTTATTATATGAGAAACACAGTGTGAAATACTCAGAAATTAAGGAATTAAATAAGATTTGATAAAAACAGAAGTTGGGAAAATCAGATTATATGGTTATCTTGGAAATTATTTCTCTTCCAGCCTGCGTTAATAAAATAACTTCCCTGGCAATAGTATTATTTCCAGCTAGATTCTGCTTTTATGACTTGCATTATACAGATATGATTAGGGAGAATTTCCTGAAAAATTATTCCATAGGAGCCTGCCCAATTTTAATATCCTTGGGGAAAGTACTCCTTTGAAAGCCACAACCACCAGAAGCAAATTTCTGGGGAATTGAATAGCTTGGAGCTCCTTTCTCTCAGATATTCTTTGGTCAGAGACAAGAATATTTCTATCCAGACAACTTTGGCCTATAAGCAGAGGTGGTATTCAGCAAGTTCTGAGCAGTTCTGGAGAACCAGTAGCGGAAATGTTGAGTAGTTCCGAGAACCTGCAAATAGCACCTCTGACTGGCGATTTTACAGCATCCTTCCCCTGCCAGGCCCACCAAGCCATGCCCACAGAACCGGTAGTAAAAAAATTTGAATCCCACCACTGCCTATAAGCCAGCTTGTTGCCAAAGGAATCTGCAGTGTGAAAGTGCCATTTATTTCTTCTTATTTAAGTATGTTAAATTTTACTTTCAATCAATTTGTATTTTTAATTTTGCTTTTAATTTCAGGCAGTCATCAATTTACAACAGTTCATTTGGTGACTGTTCAAAATTACAATGGCACTGAATAAAGTGACTTACCAGTTTTTCTTTCCAGTTTTTCAATTTCAGTTTTTCACAGTTGCAACCTTTGCAAGAATCCCCATAGCCATGTGATCAAAATTTAGATCCTTGGCGCCTGGTTCATATTTATAATGGTTGCTGTGTCCCAGGATCATGTGATCACAGTTTGTGATCTTCTGACAAGCAAAGTCAGTGGGAAACCAGATTCACTTAACAATCGAGTTACAAATTTAACAACTTCAGTGATTCACTTAAACAATTGTGCCAGAAAGGTTGTAACATGGGGCAAAACTCACCTAGCAAATGTCTCAACAGAATGTTGGGCTCAATTGTAGTAAGTTAAGGACTACCTGTAATTTGTGAGTGTGGCCCTTTTTGCATTTTATAAGTCTACTTTTATTTGTTTATTACTCTTCTGGCTGCCTCTAGTGCAGGGGTGTCAAACTGGATTGAACTGGATTTCTTCGGGTGCCGGATTAGCATTGTAGTTCTCCATGGGTCGGCCAGGGCCGGGAGATGGGACGGAAGCCTCCTGCAGCATCTTGCCAGCCAAAATTGGATGTGGAGAGGTCATATGTGCCCCCCACGCACACCCATTTTGGCCGACAGAGTGCTGCAAGAGGCTATCTAGGCCGAAAATGGGACATGGGCAGCACATGGCCTCTCCATACCACATTTTGGCTGCCAGAGGCACGGTGGGGCTGTCATTTGCTTTTTCAAGGCCAGCCCCATGAGTCAGATTTAAGCACCCTGCAGGCCGGATCCAGCCTGCGGACTTTGAGCTTGACACCCCACTCTAGTGCTATTCTCTGTAAAAACAGTGAAATGTAACTGAAAGAAAATGTTGCTCTACCAACAGCTACACTTTTCACATTCTTCACGATACTAAAGTGATTTCATGATGAAATTCGGAAGTAAACCCAATCATGATGAAAACTTTGGAGTGGGGTGACAGGAAATAAAGGAAGGTATTTAAATCAGAGCAGAGCATGTTTTCATTTAAAACGATAGTATTGCCAATAACCTAAGCAAATCTGTTTGCATTTTACCACTGGTTGAATATGTGAAATTCTATAAACCTTGCCAATGTCTTTAATTTTTCCCCTTTGTGATTAACATTATGAGTTTGGATTCTTACTTAAGTGAACAGAAAT